CTGCTTATCAATAGGAGTACCATAACCCTTTTCATAACATTTACCAAGACTATCTTGACCAAAACTGTCTCCGTTTTCTTATCGTGCATGAAGTGAGTACAATTTACACAGCTTTGAGGTTTTTACTTAAAACAAACTAACAGATTTCATTGTTAGGTAAAAATTGTTTCAGCTCTAAAATAACGTAATGAACATTTGAATTCTTTGTATGATAGTACAGTAACAATGGCACTAAATTAATGTTTAATTAATATATTTTATGAAAGTAAACCTAAATTATCATAATATTTGAATGTTAAATATATGTCAATAAAGGAATTTAGTTTATTAACTTAAGGTTTCGGCTATTATATATTCATTCATATATGAGATTTACATTAATTCTTGCTTTTACATTTTATTTTTGTATATACAGATATGTTGAATTTTATATAAGTTTATATTAATCTGTATTTTTAGAGGATCGCTATTTCTCTAATTCTGGCTGAAATAGCAAATACTAAATTATTATCAAGTTCCTTTTATTAAAAGTTTTTTTAAAAAAAATTTACTTAGAAAAAACTTTTGGTAGAACACATAATGATAACCTCGCAGTCGATAAGTTATATAGAATTTGCTACCAATTTTATGATTAAAGTTTTGTAACATTATTTGCATAAAGGTCCAAACTAATTATACGTATGTGTATATTTATGTCGAAATAACCTTTTGTAACAGCGAATTTATTGGAAAAATATTAGGCCACGAAAGTTAATTTTCGTTTTACATAACAGCCGAGCCGAGCCAGTACATTTTTTTTCAAAAAAAGATTTTTTTATTTTAAAAAAAGTCTAATTATTCCAATTATTTCATTTTTACTATTTAAATTTTTTTCCATGAGTGTATCCGGTATCACCCGATGGAGACCTTAATTTCTGGAATTACCCGATAGGTCCGCTAGAAAAAATAGTTTCTAAATTTTCTGATTCCATGTTATGCAAAACGAAAAATTAAATTAACTTCATTGCCTTGAATCTATTATCGCAGTTTTCGAAATGGTACAGAATAACAATATTTACAAAAAATCTTTTTTGCGAATACCGAATAAATTAGTCACTATGTAGATTGGAAATCGATTATCTATCAATGTTCTAAACTAATCAAGTGTTTAAGTACGTATTCGCAAAAAAATAAAAATAAAAATTTGAAACATTACTATTTTCAATCATTTTAAAAACAGACCTAAATTAAAAAAAAAATATTTTTCGATTAAAGATTTAAAAAATTTCTAAAAGACAGCAAAAATAAAAATAAAACGGTTTCGTCAACAATTAATATAATAAATCATAAAATTCTTATATCAATAACGGAATAATCCACATTTTATAATTCATAAGTTTGTATTCTTTAGTTTGTTAATCGTAACTTCGTGAGGATGCCTTATTTGTCATTCATTAGATTAGAAAGAGTACCAGGATTTCGCAAGGAAACTTTGTTGATACGCAAGAATGAGAGATCTTTTCGTTATATCAGATCTTGAAATTTGATTGGCAATGAAGTTTTTTTTAGGATGGTAACGCTAGTATAGTTCATTGGTTCGGAGTCAATGTACGTACGTACTTGTTAAAATTAATGAGCACAAATAATATATATAGTACGTACGTGCATAACGAAATCACATTTCGAATTTTTACTTCTAGTATTCACAAATTTTATATTTAAATATGAGTCAACAATCCGAAGATAATAATTTTTTAGAACAGTATTATATGGAATTTTTCCCTTATAATTCATTTGAAGCGTTTGAAATTTATAATTCAATGATTTCTAGTGATAGCTTTAAAGCTTTCTCAGTAAAATATAACAAAACTATATTTCTAAATAAAATTACCTTTTCTCAAAAATATAAAGAAGAAAATTTTACCACCGATGTAAGTTTTCATGCTTTAATGGTTTACGTTAATTTTTATAGTATTTATTATTATAATTGTGCTTCAATATTTAGCTAAAACGGTATCAAAAAGTAGAACTACATGAAAACATTTTAAAATTCTTGGCTATTTTTAAGCGAAGCTTAAGTGAAGTTATATTTATTCAAGATTATGCACTTGATGGAACTCTTTGTCAATATTTGAAGCAAAACTTTAATAATATTAATTGGAATGATAAGTTGCGTCTTGCAAAACAGCTTATTAATGCTATAAAATATTTTCATGAAAATGATATAATTCATACAAATTTGGTATGTTTTTTTATTGTACACTATTTATTTTTACTCAGTGGCGATATAGTAATAAAATTGCTATTTTTTATTATTTAGAATTCCGAAAAAATATTTGTTCACAAAGGAGATATTAAAGTAGCGTTTCAATATCAGAATCAGATTTTAGATATATTTAAATATATACAATATATTGATCCTCAATATTTAAAAGATCTCGATACTTACAAACTAAACAAAAGCTCAGATATATATAGCATTGGGGTTCTTTTATGGGAAATTTCAAGTGGGAGAATTCCATTTAAGGCAGAAACACCTTATAATCATTATTTTTTAAATGCAATTATTCATGGAAGGCGTGAAATTGCAATTTCGGGAACTCCAAAAAATTATATTAAAATCTATACTGGTAATTTTATTATTTAATTTTATATGATTTTTATTACATAAAGAAATTTAAAAATTTTATATTTATATTTAGAATGTTGGCGAAATGATTCAAATCAACGCCCAATTATTCAGCATGTTTCTAACTATCTAAATAATATTGGTTATGATAGTGAAGAAGACATGTTGATAGAATGTGATAAGGAGAATGAGAATAAAGAACAACTCATATCAGAAATGAAAAGTTTAAATGCAACTGATTTATTAATTCATTACACTAACTTATATGATGAAACAACCAAAGAACTAGATCTAATTTCTTCGGTTATTACAACTTTAAATAAAGGCATTAACAAAAGCAACTTGCTTGCATATAAAGATCCGATTAACGTATTTACTTTTGCAAATAATTTTCCTACAACAACAAATTTATTTTCTCAAGTCAGTACAAGCGATTATGATAATAGCAAGAGTGAACAAAAATTTCTTGAATACTTAAATCAATTATTTATAGCCCAATTCAATATACATAGTGCTTCAGAACATACAATAAACTCTATAATACAATGTATGCAAAAATATATGGATGGTAATAACAAAACTCCAAATGAAATTCTAAAACAATATTATAATCATCAGTGTAGATATTACTATACAAGCATTATTGGCTTCTTTTATGAAAATGGAATTGGAACAACTATTGATTATGACAAGGCATTTAATATGTATAGTCAAGCTGCAAAAGATTTTTACTACCCTAATGTCGATTCACTTTTATTAAAAGAAAATCAGCTTATTGGATTGATTTCACTTGGTTTGCTTTATATGAGTGGAAAGGGTGTTATGGTAAATCAATTAAAAGCATTACAATTATTTTTAAAATCTGTTGTTAAAGGTTCTAGTTTAGGAAAATCTTACATTGGTGAATGCTATAATTATGGTTATGGTATTATTAATGATAGTGTAAATTCTTTTAATTGGTACTTAAAATCTGCTGAAGAAGGAAATGCACGAGCAAAAAATATGTTAGGATATTGTTATGATATTGGTGATGGTATTTCTCAAAATTATAATGAGGCTTTAAAATGGTACACGTCATCTGCCAATAATGGAAATTATTTAGCACATAATAATTTAGGTAATCATTATGAACAAGGTCTAGGAACTTCCATCGATTTAAATAAAGCTTTTGAGCACTATGTAATATCTGCGAAAGAGGGATGTACATTAGGTCAAATTAATCTTGGACGGTGTTATCAGTGTGGCATAGGCACTACTAAGAATTGCAAGAAAGCATTTGAATGGTATTTGAAATCTGCAGAAAGAAGTAATGGCTTAGGAAAATACAGTCTTGGCAAGTGCTATGAGCTAGGTATAGGCACTTTTGTTAGTATGAATAAAGCCTTTGAATGTTATTTGAAATCTGCTAAAAACGGAGACAGTTTTGGTCAAGATAGTCTTGGTAAATGTTATGAAAAGGGTTATGGTACTCCTATTGATAAGCAG